CTGGGCAACACGGACTTGCAGGTGACACAAAATTCACGAGCATGCCTCGTTCGATGTGCCACTGGGCGCCGGCCTTGGTAGATGTGATGAAGGACACCGGGTAACGAGGCAAAGGGGGCGGTGGCAAGGACACTTATTTGGTCGCGCGCCCGCAGCATGATGTCATCGCCGCCCTTCCGGTTGAGGACCCCTGCCCGGTCGATCGCACGAAGTCTCTCCAAACGATCGTAGGCCTCGTCGAATCCAGGCTAGCAGCAACCCCGCCAGGATTGGGGCCCGGTGGATCCCGGCCACGCAGTGAATAAGGACTGTGAAGCCGGAGTTGAGCGTGGCCAGGAAGATCGGCAACGCTTGCTTCAACTGACGATCACGTAGAGCTCCTTTGTGACCCACGGGAACACTGAGTTGGCAAACCTGACATTCACGAACTTGCCGGAGAGGTAGGTCTCGAAGAAGATGGGGGAGCGGCCGATGAGGCTGTCCGAGGAGAAGCCAATGGCAGCACTGGCGGCACCTTGCCGGAGGTGCCTTCCGCGGAGTCACCGGCTGGGCACTGCTGGCTGCAGTAGACTTGGGCGGAGGCGCCACCCTGGCCCGCTTCACTGGCCGTGAAGTCTTGGTGAACGAGATTGAAAGTCGAAACTGTAGCCCTCGGCACCTGCGTGGGACCAACAGCCGGGCGGGCGGCCTTGGAAGGTGCCGGGCGCTTCCATCGCAGCGCTGCAGTGATGCGGCGACCAGTGGCCTGAATGACTTGGACTTGGGCAGGAAGTAGGGACTTGACCACGGGCATGCCAGGGATGGTCTCCTAATTGATGAGGCGGATCTGTGGATCAGCAGCCAAAAGCTCATCAGCATCGCCCATACAAGTGTCCCAACGCAAGCTGGGAGCTCATCCCAAAGTGCCATGTGGGGGTCCTGAAAGAAGTGCAGCCTGCCAAACGAAGTTGATAACCCAGCCGCTGCTTTGGGGAATCACACCGTAGTGGTGCAGTGGTAGTGGTCCGCGACGACTGGTCGGTCCACTGACCTAAGGCTAGCGTAACTTTTCCGTCTCCGACAGGCCCACATAGCCGGCGAGCGTAGGCAAGACCCGCCGAAATGAATATGATCACAACCTGGCAGTGTCCATCGCGGCGCTGAAGTAAGGGCGCAAAACGCGGATAAAATGGGCAGTGTCAACGGGTTGAGCTGTCGCAGAATCCAAACCAAGCCAATGCCACCGGCGGAAGGCGGGCCCTGAGTGAGGTCGTATACCTTGTTGAGGCGGTTACCCAGGGTGCCGCAGTAGCGAGGCACACTCCATGCAAAGCCACCTCGGCTTCCGGTTTTGCCCTTGGCGCACCAAAAGACGAGGATTGCCGCCATTGCCTCCCACAAGATAACTGCGTTGAAGGTGCGTGTAGCGGACGACTCCGAAGCACATTGCATACGCGCAGAAGATCAAGGGCCAATGTGGGTTTGCAATAGCCATTTCCAGCGTGCCCAAAAGGTGCAGCACCATCGAGCGTAGCAGCCTGAGCCTGTCCCTGGCCCAGGCGGGCACCGGGCCCAGAGCGCGGCTTCGCGACCTCGGTCACGTCAAAAGGGAGGCGCAAGTTGCGAACCAGCCAACCCAGTGAAGTGAAGGCCCGAGTAGGTGCTGCATGTTGGCGAATGGACGTAGGCAGCACATGCTTGTCAGGCTTGGAGACCCCCGACGAGGTGAGCATTAGCTGGGGTATGCAGGGCTCGCTTGACTGTAGCCGCCTCAGCCTGCAGGATCCCCTTGAGGGCGCGCCTCAAAGTTGGCGGTGAACTCCACGAAGCGGTCAGCAGGGGGGCGGCTCAATCGCAAGGAGGATCGCCATGAGCTGCGGCAGAAAGGAGAGGGCGCCCCCTTCAGAGCCACCCGACTGGTGGCCCCAGGCGCTAGGCCGGACAGGCCCTGCAAACGAAGGAGCCGGCCGAGATGTCAAAGTCGGTGAGGTAGTAGGGGGCGAGGAGCCGCACGCGAAACCGCTCGCGGCTGAACAAATCGCGAACCAAAGCTCCAGCGCCGATCTCGACCTCACGACGGGCGCGCTCCCAACCATCGGCAATGGCACGCCCTTCGAACAGGGCCTCTTCGCACGTCAAGAAGTAGAAGGCCAAGTCGGAGGCTGCCTCACTGTGATGAGCCGCGCACCAGCGCTCGAGCTTCGCCTGCTTGACCGCGTCTGGGCATCATCACTGGCCATGGCAGCAACGAAAACTGAAGAAAATTTAACCTGAGGGATCAGCAGTGACTCTGCTCCTCAGGGGAGTCTCCCCAGTTTGGCTTGAGCATTCAAACAACAGGGGAGACGTTGACTTGAAGCTTCCCAAATAATTCCTCGTCACCGACCCTGCCCACCTGGAATGAATGAATAACAAAAGGAGAAGAGGAAGAAAGGACGACCGGCAGCCGCGGCCAATGAACACCCGAAGAAGGACAACAAGAAGGCAATAGAAGAACATGAGGAAGACAGGACCGAAAAGATCGCGGCAAGAGGAAAAGGAGGGCATCCGGACAGGGCTCGCCGGCCTGACACTGTGGCCAGTCTCTCCTTTCCTACAAGAGAACCCTGCAAGAAGAACAAGGAGAGTACATGCGTACACGCTGCTTTCTGGAGTTGACTTGCTAGTGCCTCACTGCTTATAGTAGCGCACGCTCGGACGTTGTCATGTTTCAAGGCGACAACAGGTGGACAAGAAGAGGACAACAAGAGGAGAAGAAGAGGATCAGAAAAGGAAAACACAAAGAACAAAAACAGGACCACCAAGCTGAAAGAAGGAGAAGAAGAGGACAGCAACACAACAGGCGGGCGTGGGGTTCACCATCCAGGCGTCAACGACAAGAAGAAGGCAAGACGAGCAAAAGATTTAAACTAGACGACGAGTGGCCCGAAAGCATTTTTCGTTTCACGCACTCGACACGCACGATCTCCGCAGAGGGTTGCGCGCGGACCGCGCCCATCGTGCATTTCGCGCGCTCGACACGCACGATCTCCGCAATCGCACTCTCGCCTGCATTTCGCGCGCTCGACACGCACGATCTCCGCAGAGGGTTGC